TTCTCTACTCTGAATTGACCCCTCTCCCAGCCCTTCCACGAGCAAACCGGTCACCTTACGCAGGTTCTCCGAATATAATGCCGTCGAGCGGGAGGGAGGGGAAGCGAAGCAGACACCCTCTCCCCCACCGCCTACCAGAAGTGGGGGTATTGCGGCGCCGCCGACCAGAAAGGTACAATCATTTTTGCTGCAGACGCTGGGGCGTGTCAGTGGGCTGGGTTTGGTGCGACGTCAATCGCTGTCGCTTGCTCGCTTCAATAATTAGTCGGGAACGGACTGCTCCAGCCTCCTGACACGCCCCAGCATCTGCAGCGAACAAGACGGTATTTAGTGGTCGTGGAACGGGAAATAAATCAGCAATCACGAAGAGTTTCTCCCATGGAAAAAGCACTTCTCAGGGGCCATACTATTCTCATTTGGGGATCCCAACGTACGACGTGCCCTGAATGAAACAGTTCTATTCAAGTAATTGACATAATTATTCCAAAAGCTTAACGATATGATCAAACTTGTTAACGTTAAACGTAAATGGCTGTACAAATCACAGTGCGTAATCTTAGCAACGAGTAACAATGGATAAGGCCACAAATTGAGCGAATGAGGTATAACTGGCAATATAAAAGGCAGTATGGGCTACACAAAGTAAAATAGTTTATAGGCATGTTCATTAATGTTATTACAAGGCTAAAAACACTCATAGGTACAGAAGTGAGGTTATCAAGAAGAGCACTTTGTTGACTGATCGTGAAATAATTCGAGTTCACTGAATTTAAGAAATTTTAGCAATTTTGAAAAGGGTCTGAGGGCACATTCCGCGATAATCGAATGGGCGGGCAAGTGCGCGGAGACTCGTGACCGTCGCGTTTCCCTCATGGCGCAACCCTCTCCTCCTGATCCTGCCTCGCCGGCTTACGATGATCAGTTGTCATCGTCGCAATCCGTTGGGGCAGTGTCAGGAGGCGTGCAATGAGCCCACCAACGGCGTTTTCTACTATTGGTTGTTTTCTTCCTAAACCGGCCACTATTGGTAGAAAACGCAGCAACGTGCGAGCTCACTCCACGCCTCCTGACACTGCCCCGTCGAACGCGACGATATGCTATACCACACCAACGGAAGGAGTGAATCAATGAGGAAGGTGCAGTAGTTGTAAACCCCGCCCTTTTGATTATCGTGGAAAGTGCTTCAAATGGTTCTGGAAGAGAGCGACTTGTCCTGCTATTTGGGTATTGTTGCAAAAATGAGAAATAGAAGACGAGTAAAGTTACCAGTCAACAATGTTTCTGGTATGACTAGCGGCAGTGATGACTTTTGGGCCGTAAGCTACCAATCTCGGGATTCTACAACCTGCGACTATTGCGACTTACCCAAAGCATTCATAAAATGACCCAAATGGAAGCCAAGTATCTATTCAAGTTTACACGATTGACATAAGCGAAACTAGACCTAGTTGCATCTAAACTTTCTCTCACGAATTCTAAATGCCGAGGAAGGAGCGTACGGCTTATTTCGTTTAAAAGTGCAAACGGGTTTAAAGATGACAGGGCTCGGGCGCAAAAACTGCCATCTTCAAAGTGGTCGTTACAGCTTGGAGCTTCTTTGTCTCGACGACCTCACCATCGACGACAAGATATGATCGAAAATCTTGTGGTTCCAGTCGGAATGCTGTCACTTCTATCGCCTATAAATACTTAGCTGTAACTAGTAGTAATAAAAGGAGTAAAAGTGTATAAAGTGTATAACAGTATATAACTTGGCATAATGTTACTATTACAGGATTCCTTAGAGGAGAACAATCGCCAGTCGAATCATTCCCCTTTGAGATGGGTCACGCTTGTGGTTCCCATTAGTAGTGGATTTCATTTGGGGCACTGGTGAATAGCTGCTTCTGTTTTTCTCTACCAATCTACTTTTTTGACAACTTAGCATCCCTATTTGAGCCCCGCTATCTGGAATAAATGATTGGGGGCACTGTCTCTACATCACAGAAGTTTCAACTGACGCCTTAGAATGCGCTGGTTTCTTTCGGCAAGGAAATCTTGATGAAATCACCATTTCGTACCTTCACAAAGGGGAGATCCAAATGTTTCTGACTCTCGATCGAAGTGAGAAATTTAATTAGATCTAGCCTATTTGCTAAATCGTTGCGAAGTATGTATGTCAAGTAGATGCGATCGTCGTCCATTCGAGCTCGAGGTGCAAATGGTCCATCATTGGAAATATGTGATAAGGTGACCTGAAATTTCTGATTTCTCAGCTCAATTGGGATGTTCTCCAGCATGCCTATCAATTCTACAATATTCCTGATCCAGAGTACCCTGGCTTTCTAAGTTCTATGCCCGCGACGATTTCTTAATCGTGGGCACATTCCACGCTGATCGGATGGGCGGAGATCGCCCTGCCGCTGTGGGCTCTCC